TGAGCTAACATCTATTGCCAATCCTCCTCCTTTTTCTCCCCAAAGCCCCAGTAGATAGTTGTATGTCATAGTTGCACATCCTTCTAGTTGCTGTATGTGAGATGCGGCCTAAGCATGGCCGGACAAGCGGTGCGTCAGCCGGCGCGCGCCCAGGATCCGAACCCGGGCCACCAGCAGCAGAGCGTGCGCACCCAACCGCTAAGCCACAGGGCCGGCCCCGAGAATTTTGTTTTAAAAATATGCACCAGAGAACTGTCTTTTTAGAAACATTTTTTAAAAAACACCAATAATGTGTAAAGAGGCACCCACTTGGTGTAGCAGCCATGAGGTCTGGGCTTTGAGATCAGAGATCCCCTCCTATGCCCAAATGGAACCCAGAGGCCCAAGACAGCCCATGATTTTGGGGGCACAGGGTCTGTAGGTCATGAGGCTGGGTTTTGAGGAAAAGATCCACTTTTGAGTTGAATTTTCACTAAAATGTTAGGACATCCCTTCTGATCTTGAATAAAGTGGAAGTACCGCTATAGGGTTTTCTAAACTTACATCATTTCTCAATTAATCTCTAGACTTTTTCCTTTTTTCCATATAAAACAGGTGGTTCCACACACTTAAGATTTCCAGCAAAATTGCATGATACTTGATGACAATGTTTTTTTAATATCATTTTATCCACACAGCACTTTAGTGTTTTAACAGAATATTGAAAATAGTCCAACTTTCTCACTTTAAGTGCAATAATTAGACTAATCCTTATATTTAGGAAAGGCATGTAACATTCTAAGGAAAAAATTTTATTTGGAATGTAAGAAAGTTTTATTGTGACAGTAATCCTTATGCCTTAACTTCCTTTAGTTTCTCACTTCAAATAAACTGTCTAATGTTAAAGAAAGAATTATGGCTGTCTTTACAAAATTCAGAGTTGTGGGATTCCTCTCCAACATAACTTCAAGATGTTGAGAAAAACAAAACAGGCATCCTCTGAAGTTTTTCCACAGGAACAACATTACCAAAGATGGGCTTCTGTAGAGTTAACAGAAGCTCTTCCTGGGCTGCAGGCTTCCTGGTCTGCGTGCAGGAGTCTGTGTCTCCTCGCGGCAGCCGAGGTCACAGCTTCCTGTGCACCTTCTGGTGCTGGATCAGGTGCCCATGCTGGTTGAAGGCGCGCCCGCACTCCCCGCACTCGTAGGGCCGCTCGCCCGTGTGGATCCTCTGGTGCTGGATGAGCACGGAGTACTGGCTGAAGGCCTTCCCGCAGCGGCTGCACTCATACGGCCTCTCGCCCGTGTGCGTCCTCAGGTGCACGATCAGCGTGGCTTTCAGGCTGAACGCCTTGCTGCACTGCGTGCAGCGGAAGGGCCTCTCGCCGGTGTGGATCCGCTCGTGCTGGACCAGAGACCGGCGGGCGCTGAAGGCGTGCCCGCACTCGCCGCACACGTAGGGCTTCTCCCCAGTGTGCACCCGCTGGTGCTGGATCAGGTGTGAGTGCTGCACGAAGGCCTTCCCGCACGCGTAGCACCCGTAGGGCTTCTCCTCAGTGTGGATGCGCTCGTGGTTCATCAAGGTGGAGCGGTGGCTGAAGGCCTTGCCGCACTCGCCGCACTCGTAGGGTTTCTCCCCGGAGTGCACGTTATGGTGCTGGATGAGCACGGAGCGGTCGCTGAAGGCGCGCCCGCACTCGCTGCACGTGTAGGGCTTCTCGCCGGTGTGCACCCGCTGGTGCTGGAGCAGCGTCCTCTTCACGCTGAAGGCCCGGCCGCACTGCCCGCACTCGTGCGGCTTCTCCCCGGTGTGCACGCGCTGGTGGCTCCGCAGGACGGTGCTGTGGTTGAACGCCTTCCCGCACAGCGGGCACACGTACGGCCTCTCTCCAGTGTGGATCCGCTGGTGCTGAATGAGATGCGAGAGCTGAGTGAAGGCTTTCTGGCATTCGTGACATTCGTGCGGCTTCTCTCCCGTGTGTATTTTATGATGCTGAGCAAGATCCGAGCTCACTCGAAAGGCCTTTCCGCACTCATTACACTCGTAGGGCTTCTCGCCCGTGTGGATTCTCCTGTGTTTACTCAGGACTGAGCTCTGGCTGAAGGCCTTCCCACACACCCCACACACATAGGGCTTCTCTCCAGTGTGGGTTCTCTGATGCTGGAGGAGATGGGAGCTCCGACCAAAGCATTTCCCACACTCGATGCACCTGTAAGGTCTCTCCCCGCTAGGGACGGCCTGGTGCTGAGTGGGAAGCACCCTCTGGCTCAAGACCTGAACTTCGGTGGGGCCAACAGGGCTCGGACTCCGACAGAAGCTCTGCTCAGATTTATAATTTCCTTGATCAATCCACATCTTGGGTGTTTTCCCCAGAATCATTATTTCCTCTGAAATGAATGGCTTCAGACTCAAGTCTCTATTTTGGTTCTCTCCCTTGTTTTCACATTCTGAAACAAAACCAAAGTGAAAACAGTAACTAAAATGTTAACCCACTCTAAACCTGAAAGCAAGTGGAACCATGAGGTGGCTTTGCTGACGCGGGATGGCCAGCAGGAATGTGGTCCCTGAACACACATCGCTGTGAGCTGCAGAGGAGCAGAAAAACCACAGCTGTGTCAGACAACTAGAAATGTGCCCAGGCTGACAGCGCAGGTTAAGAGAAAGGTGCCGGCTCTCTCTGAGGTCATTCCTGTGTGAAGTGCACATATGGCACACAGTAGTGGGGTGATGGCCCACTGCTGCCTGAGCCCTGCCTTCCCTGGAGTCCTCATGTGCACTGAGCTTCCAGAAGCCATTGGAACAGGAATAAATTCAGGACCACACCTACGACTGTGGGGAGCCCTGTCGGGCAGACAGCAACACAGCAAAGCCTAGTGTGGAGCAGGTGGGATATGCGAGCTCTCATATGCAGGTCCAACAGATATGTACACGGGGGCGCTGTGACCTCCTCTTTGGAGAATGCACTCGGGGGCAAGACGAGACACGGAGACATGATGGGAATCCTGCCAAGTCTAGGCCAGAGACGAGGCCTGAGGAGCGGCAGCAAGCGTGACAGAGTAGGTGGGACATTTCTACGATCAGGTCGGGAGCTCTGCGGGCTGACTGTGTGAGTGGAGGAGAGCAGTGGGTGCTCAGGAAAATAGTTTTGTAAATCTTGGAGACTGAGCAATTGAGATGGCAAAATGCCACTCAGAGACCAAGACTTCACAAGGGGAACAGGTATGTTCTGGGAGGACAGGCTGCGCTCAATGATCTTCATCAAGGACACTCAACAGGTGGAGCTGGCCCCACGTTAGGGCTGGAAGGAGCAAGAGGCTGGCTCCGAATGACAGCAGGACACGCGGTGAGGCCCTTATGCTTCCTCCTCCTGGAAGACAGGCTGGTAGCCAGGCCTCCTTGTGAACTTTCCTAGCACCCAATCTAAGCCCTGCAGCTCGGGATGCCAACTCCACCCACCATGCTGCTGCCTCTAGCTTCCCAAAGCCCTCCGGGGGGACACAGTTAAAAACCGTGTCGTCCTTGAGTGATATTCCAGAATGAGCAGCCCTGTGGGCAGAGGAAGATCCAAGGAGGGAATTATCTTGTGTCTAACAAGAACACATCCGGGGCCTGTGACAGGTGCTGGGGCCAGCAGCCCTTTGAGGGGAGATTTACAAACACTGCCCAGAGATACCAAGCAATCTTGTCTCAGGAAAGCATCTGAGTGGGTGTGTGGCGACTACTTCTTCCCCCTCCCTCCTCTCCAGGGCAGGCAGAATAACTTCTTTTAGTTTGTTTGGGTAAGAACTGGGCATTATCAGCTCAGGGAACCCACATTCTGCTCTGCTCCTCCACTTTGAAAGACCTGAAGAGGCAGGCCCCAAGATGGGGGCCTGTGGTGCTCCCTCCCTGGGACGGGTGGCCAGAATCTGGTCGTCAGTGTCTCATTCTGGGGTTCTTTATTAGGAAGCACTGTGATATGTTCTATTAAAATACCATAGGTTATTTATATCTGTTCCACTGTTGATGGACATTTGGGTTGTTTCCAGTTTTTTCTATCATGAAGCCTGCTTCTACGAAGATTCTGGTATGTGATTCCTGGTGCTTCCACACAAACGTCCTTATGGTATACGTAAAGGAGTGGAAGTGTTTAACATAGGGATTCCTATTTTCAACTTCATTAGATAATGCCCCACAGTTTTCCAAGGCGAGTGTGTGCCCTTACATCTCCAGCAGCTGCTCTGCAGCCTCACTCACACTTGGTGTCGTCAGATCTTTCCATTTTCTCCATTCTGAAGGTGAACATGGTGTATCAGAGTGGTTTATTTATTTATTTTTGTGAGGAAAACTAGCCCTGAGCTAACTCCAATGCCAATCCTCCTCTACTTTATATGGGACGCCGCCACAGCATAGCTTGACAAGCGGTGCATCGGTGCGTGCCCGGGATCTGACCCTGTGAACCCCGGGCCACCGAAGCCGAGCCCGCGCACTTAACTGCTACACCACTGGGCTGGCCCCCGAGTGGTTTTGATTTCCATTTTACTGACGAATAACGAGACTGAGCATTTTTTCATTTTTTATTGGCCCTTTGGTTTTCCTCTTCTAACAACTTGTTCAAGTTTTGTGCCTACTTTTCTTATTGGGTTTTTCTGCATCTTTTATTCTCTTCAGAGCAATTTATTTATTAAGTGTGTACTGTACTGATAAGTGGTAACACTATTCTTCAGGCTCTTCATTAAAAAATATCTGAGTTCACTGGTATCTGTTTAATAAGATTTTTACATATCTTATTTTTAAGAAGTTATAATACTATGTGTTTTTTCAACCGGTAAACAAGTTTTAGTTCTTTGTTTTTTGAGTTATAAGCCTCATTTTCACAAAATAAAGCCGATGGGTCAGAGAAATAATTACTCATTTATATTGAAAAATATCATTTCTATTGTTTGAAGCTTCCTGAATGGATGGTTTCTGGCCTGATGCCCAAGTAACAAGATGAGTAGGAGGACTTTAATAGCAAAAGTGGAAGAGGTTACTCACTCAGTTGTCCAGTGCATAAAAGCGACACATGACCAGACGCTCATGTTCACAGACAGACTCAAGCCACTGTGAACGCCAGCGACAGGCCACCTCCCATCCACGCCGTACGGGGGCTGGCCTTGAGCAAAGAGCCCCTCACTTTCAGAATGATGGCTTCAGTTGTTGTTTCAAGTATAAGGGATGGAAGAATGTTTTAAGTGTAACAAGATAAATAAAGAGAAAAAAGCAATTCCACTGAAACAAAGTTTTAATTTAGAACCCCCCCCCCCAAAGTTTTGCAGAGATTGTGTGTGCTGTATAACGAGAACACACGTTCTGCATCAGAGCACCCTGGGAGCCTCTTTACCTTCTGGTGAATCACGGGCACTAACACCTTCAGGGACTGTGCTGGATTAAAAAGAAGATCAGACATAATACTTACCCCATGGACAGGATGAATTGTCTTGTCGCATACAAGCTGTCATGTGGTCACATTTGAGGTTGTCTGCAAAAGGAACAGAGAGTTGAAGTGACAACAAAACACTTCTCGAGAGTGGAAAAATCCTTTCATCTGCTGTTACAACATGGAAGTGCAATTCACTGAGTTAAAAACAGCAGGGCAGGGCAGGCTCACAGCTTATCCATCCTGCAGAGGGCAAGGCTGTAAGCTGTGCAGGCCCCTCTGCTCCTCCTTGCTCTAATGCTCGTGGTAGTGCCCCAGGCTGCTGCAGGCCGGCTTCTGGTCTATGCACATCATTAATCTCTCAGTGCCCAGAGCCTCCAAGGCCTATGCATGGGGCAGAGTGACCAGGTTCTCCTGTACAAAAACTTCTCATCTCTGACCCACTATGCTCTTGGAGAATTTCACAGTCACTTTGGCATCAAATCTGAAGGTCACTTGTCTGAGATCTCCATCAGGTGAGACCACAGCCAGCCACCAGGAAGCCCAGGTATGGTTTGGTTGTGGATCCGAGTTTTCTCGCCCACTGTGGCTTCAATCAGCAAACAGTTTAAAGTTCTGTGCAAGATTTCCACAACAAAATGCTGTGTGTTTTTTTATATTCACTGGAAAACTGAATTCCTCTGGGGCTGGCAAAATTCACTGTTTCTCTGAGGATATCTGATTTTGCAGGTCAGTAAGAGGTGGGCTGTCTGTAACACCTGGTGCCCTGTCCACACAGCCCCTGGAAACAAGGTGGAGAGCGCCACACCTGAGACTCTGAAGCTGATCAGCCACGGGGGTGGTGCCGAGCCACACCCCACACCCGAGGGGCTACAGCCCGCAGGACAGGCTGACCGAGGTTTTCCGGAGACTCAGAGGTCCTCTTCCTTCATCGGACGTCTTCGCCTAAAGCAACCACTGAACACCACCTTCAGGGTTGGATGTACCTGCCATCGCCTTCCCTTTTATAATTTTCTCCATAATGGTCTTGCACATCGTTTGTTAGATTAATCACTGGATACTTTATATTTCTGATGTTATTGTAAATATTATCTTTTTAAAAATCACACCTTTAAAAAAACCTTTTTTTTTTTCTGTTTTTTTGTATCTATATGAGATGGTGGATGTCAACTAAACTTATTGTGGTATCATTTCATAATATATGTAAGTCAAATCATTACGCTGTACACCTTAAACTTATATGGTGCTGTATGTCAATTATTATCTCAATAAGGCTGGAAAAAAGAAATCACACCTTTGTGCTGACAAATGGAAATAAAACTGATTTTGTATCCAGCAAATTGGTAAACTCTCTGGTGAATTCTAAGCAATCTTTTTCCAAGCAGACAATCATATGAACTGCAAACAACACTTTTCTTCTTTGTTTCCAATTCTTATAGCTTTCGTTGTCTTTAGTTTTGTTTGCTGTTTGTCTGCCTTATTTTGTGTGTGGGGCCCCCAGGACAATGCTGCACAGACGTGGGTGTAGAGCCACACATGGCTCCCTGGTCTGGCTCTTCATCTCACACACATGCCTTCAGCCCTCACCTAAGTATCAGCTTAAGCAACTTCTGTCTACACTTAGGATGCTTCATTCGTTCTTTTATCCATCAACCAGCTAACCCTCAAAATCTGAATTTCCCATAAGGACAGGGACCAGGGACACGGCAGGGGTGGAATGTGCGCTCTCCCCATCGCCCTTCCTATGCTGCCCAGCTCACCGCCCATCTGTACTCACCTCTCCGCTGGCTTCCTGCCTCGGCCTCTGCTTGGCTCAGCACTGCCCCCTGCAGCCTCGCTGCCGGGAGAGGCCCCAGGTGGAAGCCACTCCTGCTGTCTCCCGTCAGAGCCCACAACCACCGGGACCTGCTCTGCTCACAGTGAAGGAGAGCCGGTTCCTCTCACTCACCTGAGTGGCTACTGCCTGGGCCCCTACTCTCCTCTGTCCCCTGCCCGTCCAGGACCCATGGCTCTTCCCCTCGCTCCAGCTGAGAGATCACATTGGGCTTGGATCCTGGAAGTCCTGCCCGTGGGGAGAGAAGTGCTTTTGTCTACACAACATCTGTGAGCGCCCCCACCCCACCCGCGGGCCTGCGGGCCTGAGACAGACAGTACTGAACTCCCTCTGGAGCTGAGCACCCAGGAGGCAACCCTGAGGCCCCCGCCCCATGACCCCTGCCCCTGGGACGCCCCCACCCCCTGCTGAGCACACAGACGCAGACAAGGCCTGCTGAGGGGCCATACCCAGCGAGACCACGTTCCCATAGGTCTCCATCATCACGTGTCGGTACAGACCCCGCTGAGCAGGGCCCAGGCGGTCCCACTCCTCCTGGGAGAGGAGCACGGCCACATCCTCGAAGGTCACCTTGGCCTGGAATGACAGGGGCTGCTGCGGGTTGGACTGAGTCTCCACATTCGAGATGGAATAGGTGCATGCAACGTGGGGGTGGGTGGGGGACGCCCTGGGATGGGGGGATGCCCTGGGACACGCAGGGAGGGCACCCTGTGAGCCAAGGGGTCAACAGGAAGGGGCCACAGAGTTCAGGGGATACAGTGACACTCAGGCTGCCACCGGGAGCCCGGGGCGTAGGAGGACCATGAGGAAATGCAGGGCTGCTGCATAGGCCTCAAGGGGCAGCTCACCTGGGGTCCTGCCAGTGGCGGCAGGAGCCTGGCTGCTGCCATCGCCTGGTCCCCTGGGGTCTCTGAGGAAGATGGAAATCAGAGGAGCCTGTGGAACTGAGGAAGAGAAGGGAGCACATGAGAGGCCCAGCCTTGCCCCTGCAAACCCTGACTTCCAGGGGAGCCCTGCCCCCTGTGAACTCTGACCCCATAGCTCAGGGGCTGCACAAACAAGCAGCTGCTGGGATCTCTGGCCATGGGCCCAGGAAGGTCCTATCTTTAAGATGTCTGGGGATGCTTGTGGACCCCGAGGACTCCAGCCACAAGGCTTTGCTCTCCAGACTCCTGGGGTTCTCATGGTTGGCCAGTCACACCTGTGGCTAGGGAGCCAGCAAGGGCTCTGGGCCGTCTGCCCAGCTTACCTGGCCTGGTCCATGGTCTGTGCACAAGGACACCCACACAGGTGTCAAGTTGTCATCAGGTCTGTGTAGGCGCCAGGCCAGGCCGCCACCAGAGACTACCCCCCAGTGAAGAGAGGCTGGCAAAGGATGCTTCTGCTTGTGGCCCAGACTCCTGTGGGGACCCCACCCCAGGCCCTGCATGCTTGGCTTGACCACAATCCTCCTGTGGGCATGCTGATGGCTCTCCAAGCCTGATTGTGCCCTGATGGCCCTGGTGCTCGATGAGGCAGGGGCTGTGAGCCCGGCGGTGGCTCCACAGTAGTTGGCAGTGAGGCATGAGACGCGCCTGGGTTCTGGTGGATTCAGTCCAGAGTGACCCAGGGATTTGGTCTGAGCACCTGACCGAGAGGCCTGGGGGTGGGCAGGCTCTGGGGATATATCAGGAGAAGTTTAGCTAAGATGTCTGTCACACCCAAACTGCTGGAAACAAGGGGGGACCGAGAGCTCTCCTGATGGGGGAACAGGGTTCACATCTCCTGGAGCATCGAGGCGGGTCTACAGCAGAGACACAGAAGACCAGCAGGCAGAAAGCCCACTCTTTCAAAGGAGTGAATAAAACTACTTAGAATTCCTACGAACAATGGATGCTGGGGAATAGGCAAGAATAGAATTTGAAAGAAGGGGGGCTCTGCTGCCTTGCCAGGTCTCAGAACCAACAGTGTGGAAGCCACTGCCACCATGTGCTCTGCCTCCCGCCCTCCTGGTGGCCTCTGGCGTATCCTCGAGGAGCAGCATCTTCTTTCCTGCCTCACCCTGTCCCATTCTTGAGTCACCCACAGACCTGCCATCTCTTGTGGTCAGTCATTCTCCCGAGGGCCACAGCCTTGTCTAGATGCCTCCCCATGAGTGCTCTCCCCTGCCAAGTGGCCCTGGTCAGGGTGTTCTATGACCTCCACGTGGCCAAACCCTTGTCTACTGTCAGCAGTGGGGACAGTCGGTCACCCCATCCTCCTATAACTCAGTCTCCAATGGGTCTCCTGGACACTGCTCTCTCAGCCAGGGCCTCCGTCCACCCTCGTCTGCGTGAGAATTTGACCTTCATGAACAATCCAGCTCTGGTCCTCTGGGAACCTGGCAGAGGTGGACAGTCATTCACACTATGGCCCGACTGCACCTGGGCTGGGATCCAACAATGAACACCCACAGGAACCCCATTCAGGGCCTCCCCAGTGGGTGCTGACAGCTGGTACAGCCGATCCAGGAGGTGTTGCCTCATGTTGCCACGAGGCCGTGGGCCAGGCCAGCTCCTGCTCCTGCTGTGTCTGTGCACCTGAGCTGCTTCCTGCCCCATGTCCTGGACATACCTGGCACTGGGTGTGGTCATCCTATAATCCTAAATGTTCAGTAAAGAGCCCAGGGGGCTCTTTTTTGGTGTGGCTGAGCTGGCAGTCCCCTTCTTTCCAACGCAATATCTCCAAGTAGATGTTCTACAGTATCTCAGACAATTAACATCCAGCCCTGAGCCGCCATTTCTGCCCCCAGCCGGTCTGTGCACCAGTACACGAGACGTGCTCCTGAAGCTGCCTTTCCTCCTCACACTCACTCCCCACTCCTAACCACCCTCCAGGTCCACCCAGAACCTGGCCCCCTGCAGCACAGTCCTGTGTCTGCCCCCCATGGGAGCACGGGAGCACACAGGAGCACAGTGACTGTCCTCAGCTCCAGCCCCTCCTTGGCTCCTCTGGGGCTGCTCAAAGCCCTGCCCGGCCTCCTCTCTGCCAGGGAGGCTCCTGCCCCTTGGCTGGTGTCTGGCCACGTTGCCCTCTCACTGAATCCCTTCCTGAACCCCGCTTGGGGGCCTCTGCCCATCCAGCTCTCACATCCTCCCTTCCTGTCCTGGCAGAGCAGCCAGTGGCCCAATGTTTATTGAATAAGTGAGTGAAATTTAAAGAGCAATAAGACCATACTTCACACCCTTTAGAACAGCACCAAGTACCAGCATCTACCGCTGGCAGGGATGGGAGAGTGGAGCCTCTAACACACTCTTTCTCAGGAGAGCCGCCTGCCAGTATCTAGGTGAATCAGATACGCCCTTGGAAAGCAGGTGCCCTACTGGGATGGACACAGGCTTTAGGTGCCGCCGCCAACGCCACCAAGGTCCTTCCACACACAGGTCACACACCCGCTAAGAGAAAGATTTAGGCTGTGCCAGGCGGCCGGACGGGTAAGTGAAAGCACGGGACGCAGAGAGCATGTCGATGATGCTCCTGTTTCACAAACAATGACCCAGGGCCACAAAGGGTGTGTGTGCGCTTTGCCCCCACCTGTAAAACAGGGAGATTACATACGTCATCTGAGGGACTCAAGAGGATGGCAAGGTTAGTGAGAAGAGAGCACTCAGAACTGCCTGGTGCAGAGTCAGATGCTGCCGGACACAGTGTTATCTCCTTCGATTCGATTAGGCTGTCAACGTGTGTGAGGCACAGAGAGGGGCAAGGGGAAAAGATTTCCACTGGGGGTGAGTCCTAGCAAAGCAAAAAAAACAAAAGGTCTCTACCTAGCATGACCTTCGCATATTGCCAAGTGAAAAAAGCACACTGCCAAGTATGCTTGTTGCTATGTCTGAACGTTTGTGCCTCCCCAAATTCATATGGTGAAATTCTAATGCCCAACATGATGGCATTAGGAGGTGGGGCCTTTAGGAGGTGCTTAGGTCATGAGAGTGAAGCCCCATGATGGGATTAGTGCCCTGAAAAGAGACCCCACAGAGCTCCCTGGCCCCTTCCCCTACATGAGGACACAGCCAGAAGTCTGCAACCAGGAACAGGGCCCTCACCCGACCACGCCCGCACCTGGTCTCAGACTTCCACCCTCCAGAACTGTGAGAAATAAGTATCTGTTGTACACTACCCAGTCCGTGGTATTTTGTTATAGCAGCCCAAACAAACTAAGACACTTGTATTCTGATAAAAAATGAACAAAAGAAATTTAAAAAGCGGCACTAACTAGTTTCTAATTTTTCCTTATGTGAACTTTGGTAAATAAGGTGTGGGTCTCCTGGAACAAGTCTGTGACTGGAAGCAAAGACGTGCAAAACACTGCAGCCTCAAACTGAACCCGCTGGACACTTGCAAGGCAGGGACACCCAGAGCCACCTGAGGCACCGAGCTGGCTTTTAACAAGCACCCCTCCCTCGCTGCCCCCGATTCTGATGCCCAACTCCAGGCTTTGCTCTGTGGAAAAAACAGGAATTTAGACAGGAAGGGACACAGTGGGCATGACAATTCCCGCTCAGATGGCCCTGAGGACCTGAGTCTCCACCACTGAGTGTCAGAACAGACTCTGAGGAGCCGCTTGGGGAGGCCATGCCACCCGCAATGCAGGAGCAAGTACAAACAGCACTGACACTCTGCCCTAACCCTAACCTGCCCATCGTCACAGTCATTCTTCAGATGCAGGAATTTTGTTTTTGGAAGTCTCCCTTCCAAATAACCCAAACAAAACCAGAACAGATCAATGTTCTCAGCAGCAGTGGTCACTTACAGAAAATGGAAGGAAGTCACACTGCAATGAGACACTCTGTCAAGCAGGGTCTGGCTCTTGTGATAACTGAGCAGCCAGCAAACATGGACAGGAAATAAAAAAGGGACTGCAGAGATGCAAAGAGCTTAGATTTTAATGTTTATTATTATTATTTTTTGTAAGCTAAGCTTTAGGAACTTATCACCCTTGTTGGAATTCCAGATGGTCTTGATGTAAAAGAGCAAGCAAGCCTGTCCTTCCAAAGACCCCACCCACAGTGACAGGCTGTGACTGGTACATTGGAGTCCCAGGTCTCCGGTGGGCAGCCCCCAGGATCTCCCTCCCTCCGTTCTCACCATCCTCACTCCCAGGTTTTCCTGTATGGAATGCCCAGCCCCCTCTTCATCTCCATGGAGCCCCGCCCTCCACGGTGTTAGCACCTTCAGAAGAGGCAGCTCTGAGCCACTTGTGAGCACAAAGCACAACCCTGCAACCTTCTATTTTTTTTTTTTTTTTGTGAGGAAGATCAGCCCTGAGCTAACATCCATGCTAATCCTCCTCTTTTTGCTGAGGAAGACCGGCTCTGAGCTCACATCTGTTTGCCAATCTTCCTCCTTTTTTTTCCCCCCCTTTTTCTCCCCAAAGCCCCAGTAGATAGTTGTATGTCATAGTTGCACATCCTTCTAGTTGCTGTATGTGGGACGCAGCCTCAGCATGGCCGGACAAGCGGTACGTTGGTGAGCGCCCGGGATCCGAACCTCGGCCGCCGGTAGCGGAGCGCTCACACTTAAACGCTAAGCCACGGGGCCGGCCCATCCTGCAACCTTCTAGAGTAAATGATCCCAAATACGCTTCCAAACCGACAGCATTCCTATACACCAGCAACACCTAGTCCGAAAATACACACGGCAAAAGATTCTGTTCACAAATGGCAACAAGAAACAAATCTTAAACTTTAGAAATGTGATGAATAAATGTGATGATAAAATAACATTTATAAACGTTAATTCTGCCCACTGTACCCACAAGGCCGCTGTCCTGAGAGCCCAGTGGGCCTGGTCAAGAAGGGGCAGGTCAGGAACCGGGCAGAGCAGGGCCAAGTCTAGATAAATGGGGGACAGAGGAGGCAATTCAAATCGCTGGGGGACAGATGATTCAGTCAGTGGTGCTAGGGCAGTGGGTTAAATGCTTTGGGGAAAATAAAATTAGACCTTTACATAAAGCTCAACAAATCTCTCAGAAAGCAGAGCAAAGGCAAAGGCATAAAAAACAGGACAGAAAAAAAATCAGACCATCTCATACCCTATATCAAAAATCTAATGAAGCCATGAATGAATAAGAACTAAAATTACATCATAAAAAGAATCTGAATAAATATTCAGATAAATTTTCATTATTTTACGTGGAAAGGGCCTTTCCAAGAAAAATACCAAAAGCAGAAAGCCTGGGGGGCAGAGACCCACAGATCTGCTGCATGAAAATCAAAATCTTATGCACATCAAACCACCACAAATTCCAGAAATGGGCCCAAAGACTTGTAAGAATTTAACACATGACAAAGGTGGTTTTCCAAATCAATGGAAAGATGAATTATT